ATAATTCTGGTGATATTGGGGTTATTTTCCATCTTTTTTTAATATAAAAATTGTACATATTTAAAGTGTACAACATGACGTTTTGATACACATATACATTGTAAAATAATTCCTACAGTCATGCTAATCCATTGGTGCTTTAAATCACTGATTCTCTCAGCAAGCATTAATTAAACACCCACAGGGGTAGGCATATCCTGTAGATTCAAAGATAAATCAATCAAGGCCCCTGACCTAGAGGAACTAACCATTAAGGACACATTTTTAATGAGTTCATTCCTATGTCTGATATAAATATCTCCATTTAACCAAAAGAGGTGTGCAAGGTGGCCAGGAGTGTTTTCTTCGTGGTCTCCTTAGAGCCCACACTAAGGACCTCATTTTAACTTGATCACCTTGGTGAAAACCTTGTCTCCAAATAAGGTCACAATCTGAGGTACCAAGGGTTGGGACTTCAGCATAGGAATGGTGACAACAGGGGGACACAGTTCAACAGTTCAACCCGTAACACGTTCTACAGCGTTTTTTCAAACTGCAGGGTCACTTCCATGAGCCTAAAAAGCACCTTTTTATGAAATAGAATAGAGTGTAATAGATGATCAGAGTATCTGCCACATAGTAGGGGGAAGTACTATCTCATTTCACGTGTGTGTGTGTGTGTGTGTGTGTGTGTGTGTGTGACAGAGAGAGAGAGACGTATAAGGGCAACCATTTAAAGGTATTTCTTGCCTTGGGTCATGACCCAAAAGCGTGAAGGTCACGCTGTTCAAAAAGTGGCAAACCCAGAGATAATTTCAGTCCCTAAGGTGTACTCTCTGGCGACTCACATTCCCACTGCGTTTCGCGTTTACAGAATATCACAATCGAAGGTGCGTCCATCGTGGACGGTGACAACGCAGCCACAAATGGAGTGATACACGTCATCGACAAGGTACGCAATTCCACCCTCCTACACATACGGCATCTCCTCTCCCTTCATTATTTAGCCTCCTATATAGTGTCTTTTCTGGAAAATAAAAAAATACTCAGCCTTAATATAAAAGTAACCTGTATTGTGCTTCATTACTTTTATTTTAAAACCATTTAGAGGCTCTACTCATTCATTGTCTCGGCCTGTATTCTGCAACAGGCCCTATAGCAAGTGAGGCCACACATATTGAAATTATCTTTCTCGTTTACGGAGACATCTCCAAAGGCGCACGAGCACCCTAGCACTGAGAAGTCCACACATGCAGACTGATACACGCAAGAACTGGAGGACAGGCACGCTGTAGTTTTCAGTTACTATATTAGGATCTTCATTTAAAATGAAAGTTACAATTTAGGGTACACTGGGAGCTTTTGTAAGGTGGAAGATTGGAAAAAACAATTAACTAATTGTGTTGTAACTGAAATTGTTCTCAGTTGGCACTTGTATACTCGCTTTTTGATTTTGAATTACAGAAAAGGTCAACTATTTCTGTTCAGAAAACAGAGGCTATTTATAAGATTCTTGGGTACATTACTTTGCAAAGATCTTGCAGTCTTCTTGTATTACCAGGGAACATTAAGAAACACAACATTTTTGAGCAAGTGATTCATCACTTGCTGGGAACTATGACTTCATATAATGCAAAGTAACATTACTTATCGAGGACATTTTTCTTTTCCAATTCTGGCTTTCTGAAATGCGAAAAACCTTTAAAAAACATAAAATTACCTCTCCTTACTTAAGCTTTTTGGCAAACACAACCTCATTGGTAGAATGGCACCTCAACCCATCTCTAACACTGAGCGTCACAATCACAGAGGCCAGCTCAAGTGCCACCGCCTCTGCAGGCCTTCCCTGACCCACACAGTCCACACCACTGAGCATGACATAATGTCAAGACGGTGAGTTCTAGAGTCATATAGAATCTAGGTTCTGGTATCTTGTTAGCTGTGTGACCTTGGGCAAGTTAGAGAACTTCTCTGAGCCTAACTTTTCTTCCCCCATGAGGATTAAATAATACCCTCTCAGTACCTACTGCCTAGTAGACCCTCAGTAAATGTTGGTTTTATTCTCTTCTTCCTCTGAAACCCCATGGGATTTCTGCATATAGCACTCACTTGTCATAACTTCACCCTCCTGTATTGATAGTTGTCCCTTGTGGAATAGGTCCTGAACCCCTCCATGATCATGTGCTGGAGGCAGGAGCTGCATCTCCCTGTGCCCCTCATCAGCACAGCACTTCGCCCTGTGTGCAATAATAATTGGAAGTTTTGAGGGTCCGCTGGGTGCCAGGCACCGTGTCATGCACCGCATTATCTCATTGGATTTTTACAACCACCCTAAGGAAGTAGGCTCTGTATTGTCCCCACTTACACATGAGACAATGACGCTCCTCATGGTTAAGTAATTGGATTGAGGAAGCAGTTACGTGAACACAAAAGATTTATGGATGGGTGTTAAGCGATCCGAGTTCTCTGGGCTGCCCTAGCTCTCTTAAGAGCTCCTTCTGTATCTGTCCATTGGCATCAAGGTCGTCTTTGTCAGGGCCGCCACATACAGTCTTACAGGTGTGTCCTGCATAAAGATCCCTGGCCAGAGGGTGAAGTGGAGCTAAATCCCAGCCCACTTCACTACCCATGCTGTGCATCCCTGTTTGGGGTTACCAACTCCTGGAGAAATGGGCGCCTTTTTCTTAATTTGACATGGACATGGAACTACCAAGTTCTACTAGACCATCTTTAGTGCTGGAATCTGCTAATCATCTCAAGCCCCTCCACCCCCTTCAGCACCAACTCAGGAATGTATCTGTCTTCCTTTAATACAGGGGTTGACACACTATTTCTGGAAAGAGCCAGACAGCAAATACAAGGCATTGCAGGTCATCTCCATGGCTGCTATTCAACTCTGCCATCGTAGGGCGAAAACAGCATTAGACAATATGTAAACAAATTTGCATGGCTGTGTTCCAATAAAATTTTATTTTTAAGTATAAGCAGCAGGCTGGATTGGACCATCCACTGTAATATGCTGTGAATTCTTTGAGGGTAGGACCGAGGCTTCAATCACGTTTGTATATCCCCTGCCTGGCCTATAGTAGGCACACAATAAATGTTGGTTGAAGACTAATTGAATCAGAAAAACATTCCAGTGCTGGGTTCTTCAATCTGAGAAGGTTCTAGGTAGAATGAGAAGATGGAAATAGTTATCTTGGCCAGAAGGTTAATCATGCAAGACTTGCAAACTCCAATGTCCAAGTAGATCAGATGGACAACAAAGTGAGTGAAGGGAGACAGGGGAAGACATTAGGGAGTGGCGGGGACTGTGGTGAAAGGGGCTGCTGCTACTCTCTGCAGCTGTGTATTATCTTCAGAAATGCAGACAGATTTGGGGGGGTTATTATTATTATTGTTGTTGTTGTTGTTGTTGTTATTTTAGAGACAGGGTCTCAGTCTGTCACCCAGGCTGGAGTGCAGCAGTGCAATCATAGCTCACTGCAGCCTCGAGCTCCCGGGCTCAAGAAATCCTGCTGTCTCAGCCTCCTGTATAGCTGTGATTACAGGCACGTGCTACCACGCCTGGCTAATTTTTAATTTTTTTTTTTTTTTTGTAGAGACAATGTCTCACTATGTTGCGCAGGCTGGTCTCAAACTCCTGGGCTCAAACAGTCCTTCTGCCTCAGCCTCCCAAAGTGCTGGAATTATAGGAATGAGCCCTCACACCTGGCCTAGACTGATGTTTTTAAAAAGAAGTCAGAAATCTAAATTTTTATGTAAAAATATCCTATTTTTACTACACTATATAAGTCAAACAAAACATTTTTACAAGCCAGATTCAAGCTGCTGGGTTTCAGTAGAGTTAAGACTTCAGAGAAAAGAAA